CTGGAGAAGAAAAGAAAAAAATTAGGAAACACGTAATTCCTTCTGTGCCAACACCTCCCTGTTTCTGAAATCTCCTATCTTCTCCGCGTACACTCGCTGATCTGCCCTGCCAACTAACCTTAAAGCATGCACAGATATTAAGCAGTTCAAGCTTCAGCTTCTTACGACGAGCCAGGAGATGTTGAATAAATAGTACCCTGTCCCCTTCCTGCCTGAATGCAGTATGTAAGAATGTTCCAGAGCACTTCAAGATTCACGCGCGGGCGCGCAGCAAATGTCACCTAGATGTGCTAGAGGCTGTTTACATTACCAAACTACAGCCTGAGCTGTGTGGACAGAAGGAGTTTGTTAGGAAGCTAGTGCTCTTTTGACTTCCCAACTCCCTATTATAGTGCGTGTACTCTTTGGCGGAACTCACACTATCATTCAGCTTGTGTACGTTTCATCAAAAAATGTCCGCCAATAAGCTGTATAAATTGACATCGTTGTGCTTCGTCACATTATCACCATGTACTGATTTTGAGGAGTAATGGTACGAAAGGCCTTATCAGATTTACAACTAGCTTCGTCTCTTCGTGTGCTCTTCGTGTGCTAGTTGTAAATATGTTTCCCTCCGACTAAGTCTCTATTATTATAGCCAATTTACAAGCGATTGCAAAACAGCCAGCTACGTCCTCAATTGGCAGGAACTATACACCGTCAGAGAGTGGAACACCTGTTCTACCCCTGAGGACATGTCCCCCATCTATCTTTTGGAGTTTTCTTGAAATAAACGTTTTGAATTTTCGATTCCATTCAACCAGGCTGAAATACGGCCGAAGTCATACCTGCGCAATAAAGCTCGCCCCTCCGCGACGTCTCCCCTCCAATTTCTACTTCAAGACTGTTCGCAACGGTGCAGAACAAAGTGGATTGTTGACTCTGACAGGGAAACGCAGCGAGGGTCATTTGTCACTACAAACGACAAGCTTCGCCTTGCGCCACCGACAATTTTTGGTGCACCGTCGATGCAAAAGTGACTGAAGTCCGGAGTGCAGTTTTTGAATTTTTTTGCAAGATGCACGGTGAAATCGCGTACTCTGTGACGAAGGATGAGGCTTTCTGGATCACGACACGTGGCCATCGATCGCAATCGTGCCTGGAACGCTACTCGGAACAGACCGTGATGGCTGAGGTAAGATGCGCTGCATTTCCTCCTTGAACTGCTAAGAACCCCCATAAACTGTCCTAGGAGTGTTGCATTGGCAGCAATCCATTGAAATATCCCCCCCCCCCCTAAAGCAAGGAGAATCATGCATCTTTCGCACTTACCTCCTGCAATCCCAAACATAGTCCAACTGTAAAAGCAGGGGCGGATCCGGGGGGGGGGGGAGGGGAGTTTGAACGGACCACCTTGATTTTTTCAACCATAGTTCGAGTGTGACCATATACTTCCGATTGACTGTTTTCTCATTTTCTCAAGTGCAGCTTTATCGAGCCACACTTTTTATCACCATCATAATATTGGGCATCAATGCCCGTTTGCTTTGCGATGTAAAATAAAACTTCAAACAAACAAAAACCACTAAACCATGCCCATGCGACGTGCGCACCCCATGCTATGGCCCAGTCGGCCCAGGTAAGAGCAGGCCGCTAGCTATGCAGCTTAGTAGATCTACATGACGTTGTACATAGATTATTATTATTCACACATATCCGCCGGATGAGTACGCGTGGCCCATGCACCATGGGGACCCACGAATACAAACCAGCATATTTTCTCTCAGCAATACAAGCAAGCAAGCAAGCAAGCAAAGATAAATGAGAGCCCAGGCAGCGAAAACAAAACCAAGAGAGATGAGGACATAGGCAACGAAAACAGTTCCAACGCGTAGCCAGGGATTGAATGTGGGCATCTGGGTACGACAGTTAATACAGCTAGTGCAGCGGTACAGAGCGCAGCAGCACAAACATACAAAAGTGCCACAGCAGCAGCCAAGAGTGTGCAAACACTAAAAAAGAAGATCAGTCCATGTACATAGATAATTCAAAGTAAAAAGGTAAATCTGCACTGAATGCACAGCTAGCTACGCGTTCGCTTCGGAGAAAGAGGTGCGTAAGCATTTGTTGAGCTGCTGCGGCAACTTGGAAAGTAAGTTTCAAATACTGGCCGCGCAGGGCTGTAATTTTCGTCGTGGCTCGTGCCTTTTGAGCTGTCTTAAAGTTCGTCGAAGCGTCTAAAAGAGGCAGCCTCACGACCAGCTGCCATCGAATTTTGGTGACATTCCAAAGAAACGTTTAGCCACTAGCGTCAAAGGTAAAACAAAGAGCGAGACTTTGAAAAGCACCTTCAAGTTCAACGTCCCATCATCCAATAATCAAAATTTCTCCGAACTGGGGACAATTATGACTGAGACACGAACGATGCAGGAAGCCTGCCTTATGGAACGTACCATACAGTGGAGTCAACACCGGGCGGATCGGAGTAAAATATTACGGACAAGTATTGCAGACGAGCAGCTGGCAAAAGTACCAATCAGCTATTCTGCCTTGTGCTGCGTGTCTTCAATAATGTTTTAGCTGCAGAATGTTGGAAATAGGGGTACTGAATGTTCAGTTGTATAGCAGCTGGCATGCTCAAGTACAGGATGCAATACATGTGGGCTGTCCTGATCACGCGAATATGTGAACTTGGTATACATGCTTTTGTAAATTTGTATGTCATTGTTTTTTATTTTTTTGTATTTTATTTTTTACTGATTAACCACAGAACCATCAGATGCTGCACAGCGGGGGCAGTGGCATATTGGATGGAAGTGGGGGCGGGGCAAAAGTAACTCCTCCGACCAAAGGTCTCGGACTCATCGTTACTCCTGTGCGCCGATTTATAGGAGAAAAGAAACATGTGCATCCAAGAAGGAAGCACCGGCTTTGCAAACGATAATGGGGGAATTTGAGATTGAGAAAGGAAAAAACAATAGTAACAGCAGTGCACCGTAGGAAGATGGAGACAAAATTAATGATAATCGGATATTAGGCTGAGCGAAGGGGACCAAAGAGGGGTAGAAGGGAGCTGGAGTGCGGTCAGTATAATTAGGCTGCTGTGTTGGCTGCGATGAAGAGATCATAGCCTGTCTGTGGCCCACTCCCACTTGCTGCTCCGCAAGTGGTCGTTGACATTTTTCTTGAAGGTGTGCATACCTCTGCAAGAAGGGGGAGACTGCAGAAGGGTAGGTGGGAGCTGATTCCATGTTGCGATGAGGGAGTGGGGAAATGAGCGGAGCGTGTTGTTTCGTGACTGAGGAGGAAGGATACTGGTGATTTGTGATTGATGATGTGCTGCAGATCTGGTTGTCTAACGAGTAGACATGCGGCATTGCGGTGCGGCTGCTGATGGTGGCAGAATGGCTTTCACCATTTCCGGACCCTCCACAAAGTGCAGCTTGTACAGAAAGCAGAGCCCTGCTACGGTACGGCGAATGTCGAGGCTCGGAAGGTATGATCCATCTCCAACTATGTGCAGGGCACGGCGCTGGATGGCAGTGAGGCGGGCCAAGGTGGGGGGGGGGGGGGGGGGCTGCGCTCATCCACACCAGCATGCCATGCTCTAATACAGCGCAGACAAAGCCACGGTACACGATTGCTCAGTGCTTTGGGTCTAGCACAGCCGATGCCTTGCGGAGGAAGCCGAGCCGCTGGGCTCCGCGTACTGCAAGCTGTCGGATATGGCTGCGGAATGCCAGCTGCCTGTCGAAGGTTACGCCAAGAAGCTTGATCTCCTCTACTTCTGGCACGACTGCTCCTTGGATGCGTATTGCGTTGGGGGGGGGGGGGTGGGGGGGGGGTGGGGGGGGGGGGGCGAGCGGTGGTGGCTGATGGTCAATGCTTGCGACTTTGTGGGCTCGAGCTTGACCGTCCACCTGCTTCCCCATGCTGCCAGTTAGTCTACTGCCTGCTGGAGGATTGCTGTCTCTTCTGGCAGTCTGAGTCGGGTGGTGATGCACTTGTAGAGAGTTGTGTCGTCGGTGTATACAGCCAGCTTTACCCCACCGGGCAGGTGGTCTTCTGCGTCGTTGACGTACAGAAGGAAGAGGGTGGGGCCGAGTATGCTGCCCTGCGGCACGCCAGATTGGATTCGGTGGTTTGGTGAAGACTGGCCGCCTATGACGACACGGATGTGGCGGTCTGTCAGGTAAAGAGGGGGCCACTTATGCCACACCGCTCAGCCTTGTGGAGGACGCCGTGGTGCGAGACCTTGTCGAAGGCCCCGGCAATATATATATTTTTTACTAGAGCCACGTAAACCCGTCATGTGTGAGCCATGAATAAGGGGAGTGGTGGCGTGGTCTGGGATGCTCTGCCGACCTTGGGTCTCGGCTTCATCACAACCAGGCGCGATATCTACTGCGAGGACCCTGACGAGGCCTCCACCGGCAGGAGCAAGGCTCCACTCATGCTGAAGAGCAATCAGCAGATCAGAGGTTTCCAGTCCAGTGCGACAGCCAAACTGCCTGTGAGACAGGATGTCATTCTTTTTCAGGAAGTTGGACAGGCTGTGGTTCACGATGGACTCCATACACTTAGACATTATGGGCAGTAGTGATATCGGTCGGTAGTTTCTGGGGTTCGACTTGGGGCCTTTCTTGTGTACCGGTACGACTTTGGCAAATTTCCACATGGCAGGTTGATGACCACTGCAGAAGCACAGGGTAAACAGCTTGGATAGAGGCAGGGCCACAGAGTCGGAACATTTTCTCAGCACTCTAGTGGGTACTGCATCAGGCCCTGTGGCTTTACTTGGATTCAGGGTTCGGAGTGTCCGGCGTACGGTGGCTTGGCGGAAGTGGACTGTTGCAAGCGTATTTGCGGTGCGCAGGCGGACACGCGGGAACGGCCACGACTGTTCTGCAAAGTCATCGTCTAGGCTGCACTTCTGGGCAAAGTACTTCCAGATGACGTTAGCGTTGTCGTGGCTTTTTGTGCATTCCATGCCGTTAGGGTCAACCAGGACTGGGATGGAG